CTCTGAATATGAAATATATTTATCTCTAATTCAGTGGTTTTTACACCAACATTCATGCATCATGGTTGGGCTCCCTCTAGTGTCAAGGGGGATTTTTTTTTAAGGAGGTTTCAGTATTGAAGTACATGTTGTGGTGCTAACTAATTTTACAGTATGCCTCGTCTGAATGGAATAATAATCTAATCTCGGAGTACTTTTCATGTACTGGTGTGTACTGTATTTCAGTCTTGGCCAGTTTGTCTTCCTCACAGCTGCTCTAAAGTCTTCAGCTCAGGTTGACATTGATGTGTGTGTGTCCTCCTCAGGATGAAGAGAGCCAGTTCCCTCAACTTCCTCAACAAGAGCACAGAGGAGACCACACAGGTAACATGAACATGTCTGTGTGTAATGACCAGTCGGTTACTGTTTTGTGGTTGATCTGAGTCGCTGATTGGAGGATCAGAATAAAAATGTTTGGTTATTTAAAGATGACAAATGTTCATATGTAGAGTTGTGTACCTGGTGTGTGTGTTTTGTGGTTCATTGAGTTCCAGTTCTCACCCAGACCCTGGTCTGTCTCCAGGACAACAACTCTGGACTGTCAGACTGTCGAGGTCTGAGTGCCAGTAATGTGGACCTGTCCAGACGCAGCTCCCTGCTGGGTTAGACTGAGGAGGAGGAGGAGGAGACGGTGGAGAGGAGCTGTTCCCAGTTGTGGTTTGATCAGCCAGACACACTTGTCAATCTCAACACACTTGAAACAAGAACACTGTTAAAAAAAAAAAAATTACCTTAGACACTGTCGTCATCATCATTGAAAAAAAAAAAATCACCTTAGACACTGTCGTCATCATCGTCGTTGTCATCTTCACTGTTGCTGCGCTGTATAAACTCTGCTTTATATCAAATAGTATTTAGACAAACATGTATCAGCATGCTGCACCTGAACGCCTCATACGGTCCACTGTCAAACCTTACGTTAAACATGACCTACACTCCACACTTCTCCATATTCAATCAGTAGCATGGAGCTAATGCTAATTCTAAAGTTCCGTTCATATTAGTTGGTATCGAGAATGTGAAATAGTTTCTTTAGTTTAGGACAAGTTTAAAAATGTCAGCGAGCTCTAGAACAAATCAGCGCTAATCAGTGATGAAACCGGACTCTTGTTTTTGTCTGTATATACTGGTCTAAATTATTTCGTGTTTTGTACATAGCGAACTTTGTCCTTTTGTTTACACGTGATGGCACTGAAGAGTCTAGAGACAAATTCCAAATAAAGGAGGTGAAAGTGGGAGAAAGGAAAAGTCAAGTTGAGGCTGACGTCAGTATTTAATCCAAAAAATGTGGAACTGATGGTTTTCATTGTTGTGAGTTAGGACGTTAAACCAGTGGTGCAGTGTCGACGACTGTGGGGAGACTTGGGACTGGAACTAATAAGTAGAAGCTGAAATTCCAAATTTAAGGACTGGACATGACACTCCAAGGACATGATTCAGATCGACTGACTTAGAAAACTGAATGTTGTTTCATGACTCGAGTTAAAAAGTGTCAAATTGAAAGCTGTGGCTGTTCACCTGGTACTTGGTCTCACACTCAGACTGTTAATATTTCATGACATCAAAACTGGGATCAGTTTTTTCAGAGCACAGTTGAAAAGCACGTTTAACTGAACATCACTTTTTAAACTCTGTTTGGTCTCAGCTCTGTCTCTGAGTTCACGGCTCACTCTGCAGCTTTGAAAGTGGAAAACAAGAAGGGTTTTGCACACGTATGTTCACTGTGTCACGTTTACAGGCACAGAGGGATTGTGGGTAAAAGAAAATATCATTTAAAAGTGAGACATGGAAAAATATGTGGGAGAAAGTTGAACCAAATGCACAATAAAACCAACAGAATCAAGACTAAGTTTAGTTTTCAGGGCTTTCATTTTGGTGGTTTAACCTAAAATGAACAGAAAAACATCATGGAAATTAAAAAAACAATAACCTGCTGCATCTTCTGTAAAGGTATTTGTCCACAAACCCATGTTGCAGCAGGTTGTATTTTTGCGTTCATCACACGGTGCTGAGGTAAAAGTGAAACCAGATCCTTGTCAGCAGAAACAAATTAAACAACAACAACTTAAATCAGTGATCAAGTCCTCATGTTCTCTTCAAGTTTTGCGACTTCTATAGATTTCTTGCTCGGTCCTTGAACCAAAGATCTTCAGTGAACTGTCGTCCAAGCCAATCAAAACGCTGCTACGTGTGGAAACTTAAATGTCACTAAGTCTATCGCAGCTCTGATCAAAGCTTCAGATTACACCCACTGAGACCAGTGAGTAGCTGCTGCTGCTGCTGAGTATTATGGGATGCGTGACGTTTGAAGACGTTGACGGCTTCAAACGTCAGCGTCCGTTGTGCTGATGTCACATGTTCAGTGTTGTGCTGGATTGTATTTTATCAGCAGTTCAATAAAAACCTCCTCCTTCAAATCACTTGTCTGTTGTTTTCATCCTGGACCAGTGATGTCACGGTGATGTCACAGTGATGTCACAGTGCTGTAGGGTGTGTTAGTGCCGACATGTTTGTTTAAAAATGTCTCGTTTTAAGCAAAGGTCAACAAGGTTAAGCATTAAAGCAGGTAACAAATGGTGTTTTAGTAAAACAGAACAAATGTCACAGAAGGTGAAGGTGCTGTTTTAAAATGGAAAGTCCTTTTAAGTTTTCATTTTACTTCAAAGTGTGTTACATACATTTTATGTAACACACTTTGAAGTAAAGTTAAGTTTCCAGGGAAATGTTTTGGGTAAAAATGTGTTTTAATGTCATAAAAACCAGTGTATGACTATATTGTGTATATATATTTGATTATTTTACTTTCAAATTTCAAATCTTTCTTTTTTCTCTACTGAAACAAAAACTATTCATTTTCTACCTTGAAAAGCTTGAAAATGTTTCTGGAAAACTGTGAGTTCTGTGTTTGTGTGTGTGGACTATACCTACGTACTGTATTATTCAGTGCTGCAGCCTCTGTATATACAGTATGTGGAGACTTGGAAGACAAGGATGATGGAGGGTTTACTGAGAGCATTTAGAGTTTGAGGAAGTTATAGAACATTTGAACTAGAAACTGGATCCGTGGGGGTAAATTAAATCAGTGTAGTTTTGGCACAGCTTCGAGACACTGTCGTCCCGTTGACATCAAATGTTTGATCTTGTTTTTGTGGTTCCTCCTCCATCCAGACTGCAGGTTCAACTGCCATCGCTGCCTTGAGCCTCTGGTGTCCAGAGACTGTCCAGGAGACAGGAGTGATGGTGAGCAGCACAGTCTATGGTCCAGGTGTCAAACTCAAGGCCCGGGGCCAAATGCAGCTGTCCTGTGTGGCCGCGGGAGCTTAAAAAGCATTTACTTAATGCTTAAAGTCCATGCAGCAGAGTTTCTTAAAGTAAGAATTTTTTTTTTCTATTACACAGCTATGAACAGTATTTGTAGCTTGAACAAATAATCAATTGTAGAAACATGTGTTAGTCTGTTATGGAGTAGTTACATCTAAACCAGTGGTCTCCAACCAAGGACTGCTCAGTCAGTACCACCTGTTACTATGGACCAGGATCATTACATTTTCAAAATAAAACATCCTTTAGACTCTGTCCTGTTAGTATCAGAGTCTGAACGACCTTTTATTTTAAAATATTGTATTGACTGATTATCTTTAAAAAAAGAAAGGAAATAAATATGACGGGGTTTTGTTTAAACGAAGTAAATTAGTAAAACTGAAGTACGTTGTCCCTCTGCGGCCCGATACTAAATGATCTATGGACTGGTATCGGTCCGCAGACCGGGGGTTGGGGACTTCTAATCTTTGGTCTCTGGCTTTAGTGGTCTGATCTGGTCTGATCCGGCCCTGGCTCTGTGTTCCCAGAATCTCCACTTTCCTTCCAGTGCAGTGATGACAAATCTAATTATGTTTGAGTTATGATGTCATCTTTTCTTCCAGGATCCCCAGCAGCTGGTCAGGAAGTCCCCTCAGATGTGGAGGACGATGAGTCCCATTTCTCCAGTGTCTTTACGACCTCCGACAAAGAAACGTCCAGTGACACAGACTCTGATGATGAGATCCAGGAAGTGAAGCAGCAACAGGAGCCAATGAGGTGAGAGGAGCTGCTGTGCTGAGTCATTCTGATGTGTGTGCTGACGTCAGGCTCCTACTGCGCGTTTCACCAATACTAAACGTCAATCAATGTATCTGAACTTTTGGTGCACACTGTCCTCTAGTGGTGATCAGAAGAGCTGGTCAGACCACTGATTTCATTCCAGCACTGTTGTGACCTGCGGGAGTTAATTTTCCACACACAGAAATTTAAATACCAAAACAGTATTCTTTCTGTGTGGCCGAGAACCAAATTCGTGTCGTGGTCCAGTACTGGTCCGCAACCCAGTGGTTGGAAACCCGTGGTTTAAGTGATTACACCAAATAAAAAAGCCGCTCCTTTTCTAAAACTGTAATGTTATCAAGATTCAAGGTATTTTTTAAAAACATGACTAAACGTATAATTTCCCAATTGATTAAAAAAAATGTACGGCGCTAAAAGAACACTCATGGACCACGTTAGCTGCTTGGAAACGCAGAAATCTTCTTAGCCAATCACGTGGCAGCATCTCCGTAGACCCAGGCATGTACTGTAGACACAGTCAAAACTAGACTGGCACACACACGGTACCATCTGGGTGTATGGAACTGGAGTTGAGAGAAAAAAGACCCGGACAAACAAGAGTTGTTTATTCATAGAATTTTCCTTTTTTTATTCCAAATAGTTGATGAGAGGAAACTGTGTGAGTTCTGTGTTGTCAGTGATGGTTGAGGTGAAGGAGAAAAATGAAGCTACAGACGCAGAGGAAAGAAAACTCCAGTCGCACTGGTTCCTGGTGCCGCTCTGGTTTAAAGAAAAAAAAAAACCCAACCCTGGGCCTAAAACTCTGTGAGGTTCCTCACTGACACAGCTGCCGTGGTTCCACATGCAGTTTTCTTTTCTTCTTTTTTTGTCCACCACTTTCCTGAAGCCCTGTCGTCCCTGTCTGCTCCACACCTACGTCTGTGTGGTCTCTCTCTTTTACTGACTGTCTGTTCTGTCTGTCTGTCTTTGTGCAGCTATAACTCTCAGAAAGGCTGCCTTTACCCACAGTGCTTTGCTTTGAGTTCCTCTGTGCCTTCGGCTTTTTATGACTCAGTGCTTCAAGGCTGAGATTCTCTCCTTCGTCCTGTTTATTCCTGGTCTTTCTGCAGTTTTTTTTATTCTAATCTCCAGCGTTTGACGGCGTTTTTTTCCTACACTTTTTTCCGACTTTCTGCTCTCCTCTGCTGATGAGTTTTTGAAAAACTTTATTTCTAGATGTGAGATTTTTGGGTACGAGTCTGCGACTCAACATAGACGGCGTTTCTAAACTTCAACATTATCGCATGCATCTGCACAAATACACAACCAACCAAGCCAACTGACCAACCAGCTTTTTATCACGTTTTCTTCTTTAATTACCCTTCTACAAAAAGTACGTGTCATCATCTGACAGAGATGGTTAGGGAGAGAGGGCGGAGAGCAGGAGGCTGTGCTCGGCTTGAATTTCTTTCTCCCTCGTCACCACCTTCTGTTGAACACCATCTCCTGAAGGCAGGTATATTCTATGTATGCTCTTCACATAAGTTCAGTGCAATACCTGGAGCACTACTGCGTTTGTTTGATTTGGTTTTACGGTTCATGAAAAGAGGGACGGTCCAGATTAGAGCAGAGTCTTTTACTCTCGCCCTCTCAAGGCAGTGATTACAGGGACAGCGAGGGAGGGAAAGGACGGATGAAGGAAAGAAAAGGAAGAGGAGAAGACGAGAACAAAGCATATATGAGGACAGTGGAAGGGTTTAACATCGCTCTCTCCATGACAGGAGAAATAGGGCTGAAGCTGGGGAGGAGGGAAGAGAGGAGGTGAAGAGGAGAAGCGGAGCAGTTGATTACAAGTCGCTCTCGCCGTACAGAGCGCTGGAGAAGGAGATGTAGTCCAGGGCGTCGCCTGGAACGCCAGAGCCGGAGTACCTGGTCATGCGGCTGATGCAGTACTCGGCCTGCTCGGGCGGCAGCTCCCTGCGCAGCTCCTCCACTGTGATGTAGCTCTGGAGGAGGAGGAAGAAGAAGCAAAGAGTGTTGGTTTAAATGAGCTCAACTAGTTTTCCACCTTTTGGAGCCTGAACCCTGGGTGTTTCTGGCACAACAGCACTTTTTCCTCTCACTGTGCCTGGATAAAAGTGATGTTTTCACACTGACTGTGAGACATTGATGTTGCACTGCATCTGTAATGATATTTTCTGGCTGAAGCCAGCCAGAAAAGGCTGGCTTCAGCACAGATGGATAATCACTAGAAAGTGAAGTAGCAGCGTAATGTACGTAACAAAAACCTGAGTTGCTCTGTAACATTATATTCTTGAGTGAAATATATTAATATTAATATATCAGCTTATTCAAACCAGCTGAGTGTCGGAGAGTAGTGAAACTAGAAATCCTTAAATATGAAATATTAAAAACTAAATCAGAGGAGGAGTGATCTTGACTGTTGCTGTTAAAGATGAATGTTGAAATCCATGGCTACTCGTGACTCACCTTGTCTGAGGCCAGAATCTTGAAGGAGGCCATGACCTGTTCTGCAGTGTCTGTCTCAGCGGTCTCGCGGGTCATGAAGTCGATGAAGGCCTGGAAGGTCACCACGCCTGCGTTGTTGGGGTCCACCAGAGTCATAATGCGAGCAAACTCCACCTCACCCTGTCCACGGGGAACATTATGTTCATTATTTCCATTCTACTGATCCTATATGACAAACGTTTGTCTGTTTCAAGTATACTGACCAGATCGTAACCCATGGAGATGAGGCAGGCGCGGAAGTCGTCTGGGTCCATCATGCCGTTTCTCTTCTGCAGATAAAACACATTAGTGAGCGCTCCAGGGCAGACGCCCAGCCTCAAACCCTGAAACTAATTTCCTGTGTTTTCTCCAGCGTGGTCAGTGAAGTTCTCACCCTGTCGAAGTGGTTGAAGGAGGCTCTGAACTCGTTGAGCTGTTCCTGGCTGATGCCCTTGGCGTCGCGGGTCAGGATCTGGTTCTCCACCTCGTTGATGGTTCTGGCGATGGTGGTGAGCAGCTGCTCCCAGCCCACGCGGATGTGCTGCAAAAATAGGTGAAGAGTTAGACCAGAGAGGACTTGGTGAACTAAGTTGTGAGTGGCAGGCGGCGGTGGAGGAGGAGGGCTCACCTCCATGGAGTAGTTGGTGTGCTTGTTGTCGAAGATGAGGGACTCCTGGCTGAGCTGGTGGTCTCCCTCCAGCTTGTCGATGTTGGATTTGTAGTTGATGATGTTCTGCTCGTACTGCTTCAGGCTGTTCATCTGTTCCTCCAGGGAGCCGGCGATGTCCACAGACACGTGGCTGATCTCCTGTACGTTGGTAAAGACAGATGTTTCAGACACACAGAGACGTCTTTACGCCCGCTGCTGTGAGACTCTGTGCTCATTATCAGCACTGCACCTCCATCTTGGTTTGAATCCAGGGTCCGATGATGTTGGCCTGGGCGGCGAACTGGCGCCTCAGTCTCTCGTTGGCCTGCTGTCTGGCCACCTCCTCCTGGAGCATTTGGTCTCTGAGGGGCACCAGGTGCTTCACCTGAAATGAGCAGAAATACAGTTGAACGACCTTTTGTCAGCTGCTCTGACGCTCTCCGTTAACGACGGTGAACTCTGCCCGCACTCACAGTGTCCCACTTAGTGCTGATGTCCTGTGAGCTGAGGTTGGTGTAGGGGTTGATTCCAGACAGTTTGATGCCGTAGGTCTGAGCGATCTTCAGGATTTCGTTGTGGATGCCCAGGGTGGCCATGCGCTCCTTGTCGGCCTCAGGCAGAGTGGCCTTGAACTGGTCGTGAGCGGTGATCAGACTCTGATGATGAAGAAAACATTCGTTCATTCTTGATTCATACCACCTGGGCTAGACCACACAGAACACAGACCCAGGAGTGGGACACATCACATAGTATCACTGTTGCTGTGCTGATGGTACCTGGATCTCCTCAATGCTGTGAACGATGAACATGTCCTGCAGGTCCTCCATGGCTCCGTCCATCCAGTTGTTGAAGGGCGCCGCCCTCTTGGCAAACTCCAGATACAGCTGATCAATGGTCTCCCACAGTTTCTCCACACGCTACACAAAATGACACAGCACCCGTAAGACCTGGAGCTGAGGTTCGGACAGACTGCTGTGTGGTGTTCAGTGCAGTTCAGGGTGTTTGAGTTTCACCTCCAGTGCGTCCCTCCTCTTCTGGGTCAGGGTCCCCAGGTTGTCCCACTGGTCACAGATCCCCTGGCAGCGGGAGTTCACTGTGGCAGCATCGTGGTAATCCAGCTCACTGATGGACACCAGAACATTAACATTAGTCAGCTTTCATCTACTGTCTGTCTGTCTGTCTGTAGTGCACAGGTTGTCAGGGGTCATTGGAGAGGTCATTTCAGCTGGTAATAATGGTTGCCTTTCCTACATAATCAGCATTTTACAAAGACACTGCTGACAATGTACTGGATGGGAAAGATCAGAGGAGCAGTGAGGAGATCAGAGCCTGTTCTTCACTGTCTTAATCTGAGGGTCGTCCAGTTGGATCTGTTTTTTATTTTACACTTTACAGACTCCATGTTTTAAAGAATACAGTGCAGATTTGACTAGAGTCACCTGGACTGGATTGTTTTCTAGAACTTTATTCTAAGAGGCTTCTTCAGTTTCGTCTTCTAGAGCCAGACCAGTTTCCTGGTTCTGTCACTGATGACTCTCCTGCGTCTAATCTCTGGGCGTCTTACTTCAGCTCCTGGGCGATGGCAGCAATCTGCTCCACTCTGTCCTGGTGAGCAGCCAGGTCGCTCTCGAAGGCCTCGTGCTTCCTCATGAGAGCTCTGATCTCCATCAGAGAGGCCGACTCGTAGTCCTTCTGGGACAGCAGGTCCTCCTTACCTGAAAATGCACAGGAGTTTGATGAATCACCTTCTGGCTGGAACTTGAACCTGCTTCTCTTCTGCCTCTGTCTTTACCTGAAGTCCAGGCCTCGTGCATGGCGCACTTCTGCTTGAACTTCTCGGCCAGGTGGTCCAGTCTCTCCAGACGACGGATCTCCGTCAGCAGCCACTCCTCATAGCCCTTCTCCACCTGCTCCAGACCCTTCCATGCGTTGGCAATGTCCTGGTGGAGGAAGAGGCGGAGGAGGTGAAATAGTGACTCACCTGATACAGACGTCTGAACATGCGGTCTGACACCATGACAAAACTCACCGACACCATCTTGCCCTCAGAGGGCATGAAGGCGGGCCTGTTGCTCAGTCTCAGCTTGGTCTGCAGGGTGTTGAAGTTGATCTCCAGCTGGCACTTCTCCTGCACACGGGGAGGCTTGTGGACGCGGCGGTAGTCGCGGAAGTCCTCCAGCTTCTGCTGCATGGCGCGCATGGTCTGCTCTGCCACGCGGTTCTCCAGCCAGGGGATGGTGCGGCGGATCCACTCCAGCAGCTGCAGTGGCATGGGCAGGAGTTACAGCTTTCAGCATCTTTTCACGTTATACATCAGTCGTCAGTCTGGTCATAGTATATATACATTTATAACCTCAAACGTTTGGTGTTACTCTTCCTCAAAAATATGTAGCAAAGCAAAATTGTATGTGTAGTTTTTTTTTACTTCTGAACTTTTCCTGAGTACTCCTGAACTGGCTGTGATTTCATGTTAATTAAAAAATTTAAAATAATTGATATAAAAGCGCAGATGAAGTTGTCCAGAGATGAATGACGTCTGTGACAGACTCTGAGTGGGAGGACTGGGCTGCAGCTGTTCCTCACCTCACTAGCCAGCTTCTCATACTCCTCCATCAGCCTCTCGTTCTCCTGGTTGACAGCCAGGACCTTGCAGATACGGTTGGCAGCCGTCTCGGCCTGAAAATGAGAGATGGAAATACTAAATATTTCTACCACACAGTAATTGAGGAACTGACTGTAGTATTGTGCTGATAAACTAAAACAAAAAAACCTCTGACCTGCTCGGCTCCAGCAAAGGCGTGGTAGAAGCAGGACACGTAGGTCATGATGGCCTTCTCATCAGGTTTGGGTGTGTTCACAATATCTGAGCAAAAACAGTTGGACGGAACAGATTAGACTGAATTTGATTAGACTTTATTGCACCTGTCACAGGTACAGAGCAGAGAGGACTCTTAGTTTTTGTGCTGTATTTTCTGGACAAATGTGTCAAACCTCAGTATCAGTTGTATCAGTCTATAAATTGCATTTTTTTTTTAAACATTTGCTTCACCATAATCCAAGATCTGGACATTAGTTTACACAGTAGACTGAAGAACAAAGGCTAGATATTTTACGTAACAGGCTAACAGCTAGGTGAATCCACCAACTCTGGAGGAAGACGCTGCTCCGTCTCCTCCTGTCTTTAGCATCGTTTCCAGTCCCGGTACAGTTTAGGTCTCGTCTGCTGCTCCAGTAATGGTTTTGGCTGCATTCTTTCTACTTTCTACTTTTTCTCGTTTCGCTCGCCTTTTCTGTGTTCTTTTTGAAAGTTTACTCCTGTGACTTTTTGGTGCAGCAGCAGCAGCAGCTTTCAATTTGTCAAAAACATAGACAGTTCCCTCTTCTAGCCAAAGACTATACCAGGTATATATTTTTAAAAATGTGTCTTCTGGATATGCAGTAAGTCAAAGGTCCAGCCAAACTATTTTCTTGCTCCTCTGCAGCAGTTGGTTGTGTTGTCATTTTTTTTTGTTTTTTTGTCTTTCAAATTTTGAGTGTCACCTTCAGCGTCAAGCATCTTGGGGATGTCCAGGAACTTCTCAGCCACTTCAAAAGCAGTGTTCAGGTTTCCAATAGGGTCGTCCTAAATGCACACAAAGATCTGTGGTCACGTCACGCCTCATCAGGTGGATACATGGAGTAGCTTATACTTCAGAAGAATAACGATGAAACATTGAGACATGGGACAGTACAGGACAAATAAAGAGCAGGACACCTTTCTCAGTTTGGAGTAGTCGATAAGGTCAGGTCTATGTCTGTGGATGAGGGCACACAGAGCCAGGCCATCCTTCCAGCTATGTAGGAAGACAGAATAAAAACAGCAGTGAAACAATATGAAAAAAAAAAACCCCAACATTTCATAAGAAATGAATTGGGAAAAAAAAAGTTAAATGTAAAGATTATCTGTTGCAGTTCCCTGGTCAGGCCACAGTATGGGGTTGTAGACCCACCTGATGTGGAAGTTCTGCACATTGACATTCCTGTAGGGGGCAGTCTTCCTCTGGCACCAGAGCAGCAGACCCTCCTTGGCAGAAGTCTCTGTATGAATATAAGAGGGAGAGAAAGTGAGAGGGCGTCTCTGAGGGATGAATAATTCAGGAAATGAAGCTTTTTCTTTTTGATTAATAGCAGGAGACGTGAATCAAAATAATTCCGGAATAAAAATATGTTGGAAGAAAGGTTGTGACAGTTTGAAGGTATGAAGGATGAAGTCCAGTCCAAAGGAGGCAAATGAAGTGCAGAGAGAATAAATCTTTTGGAGGAAAAAGTTAAAGGAACGTGAATTTATCAGCTTATAATAAGTTTTTTTGTTTAAGATGAAGCTGACGTCTGACACACGGTCTGGCCCTGGCTCAGAAGTGATGCTTCAGCAGAGGTTAGGAGCAGTTCAACCACAAAATGGAGTTGAGCTTTTATTCACAGCACAACGCCTGAAGAGCAGCGACAATAAAGAAAAGATGACTTGAAGGTTGAGGGTCAGGAAAAATGGGGAAGGACAAGAGCGGGTCTCAGGTCTGTGAAGAGAAAATGATCGTTCTAGATTCTTATTGTGTGGGAGGCTCAGTAGGTGATGGTAGGACCAGCAAACTGATTGCCATTGATCGTGACGCAGACTGTTGGAGTCTGACTGCAGTCACATTTAAACTGTCACGTGAACGACCACGGAAAAAAACATCAGATGGCTGTAAAGAAAAAATGTAATTGAGCTACGAGACGAGCGGTGTGGACATGGTCTGACAGATTGGACATGGACTAAAGATATAAAGGTGGAGATCAGATCAGAGTCAAAAACTCTGTGCCATGTTCATCACTGTTCTACTTCATGTGACCACACACCTTCCACAGAGATGTCCTGGATGGCAAAGCGCAGGATGATGGTCCAGATCATTCCCAGGGTCATCTTCGCGTTACCGTCCACAATTTCTGTGTAAAAATAAAATACGCACATATTTGTACAGGCGTTAGTGGTCAGCATACCAAAGTACAGCAGGACTTTAGTTAGGAGTTGATGAACTTTCACACTTTATCATCAAACAGTAAATGATAAACACTAATGTATTTGGGGCCTAATGTTGTAAATCAGTGATTCCTAATATCAGGAGAAGAAACTGTAAGAGTGAAGGGATATATTTCCAGATATTCATAAAAACTCAGGTGAGGCTCAGCTAACTCAGACTAGCTTGTCTGAATTCCCTTGCGCTACAATCGTCACCAGCCGTCTGGAGCTTAAAAAAAAAAGTTAGGTGGGGGCAAAGACGACGTGATGTTGTGAGGTGTTGTGTAAAGAAGGAGAAGGAGGACAGGGGAAGGAGCAGGAACAAGTGCGTACAAATAAGTTGGACTCTCACCCTCAGCACCGATGGACACCAGCTTGACGCCCTTGCTGCAGATATAGTCCAGAGCTTTGTTCACGTTGGCGATCTTGTGGAAACGCATCTTGCCCTTGTCAGGTTTGGGCAGCCTCTCGCCTGTGAGACATCACAAGACTCAGCTTCACTGTTTGAATTCCAGATGTTCAGTGATTACCTGCTAATGTGGTCTAAATGTGGCAGAAAACTCTGATGACGTGTTTGTCCTCCTACAGCCTGTCTCCTTCAGGTTCGACTTCACTCTCACCTTCTATCAGTTAGCCCAGTGAGTGCCGACCGATGTGCCGCAGCACATTAGTGGAAACAGATCCAGCTTCACATAATTAGATTGAAAACTGTTTTCCAAACACTGCTAAATTTGACAGGTAGAACAAACAAACACTTACTCACTAGGTGGCGACCACTGCAGCCGTGGACAGATTTTGTTGCTGATGGAGTCTTACTCTTCAGGCGAGACACTGTGCTGTGCTGTGTATGTATGTGTGTGTGTGTGTGTGTGAGTGTGTGTGTGGAGTTGTACCTGATATGACCTCCAGCAGCAGCATAAGTTTGAGGCCATTTCTGAAATCCTCCTCAATGTTCTCGATCTGTGTCCCGGCCTTCCTCAAGTGGGAGTTGCACCAAGCTGTGAAGGTCTGAGAGACACAACGAGACACAGAGCGTCAGCCGCGCTGTCAGCCTGTCTGACTGTGTGACGGAGACGGTACATCCACAGATACTGACAGCCAGCAGATTTTTATTGCTGCACACACACACACACACACACACACACCTGGAAGAATTCAGACATTAGCCTGGACTGTCAACTCAACTTAGTGACCTGGTTATGACTGTGGCTGCTGAAACACACAGTTTCAGAGTCATGTTGTGTAACAGTGACTGCAAATCCTGGACAAATGAAAGGTGACTTCTGTATCACATTAGCTCGGTGTACATTTTGGCATTGTCTTTTTTGTTCTTTCTTTCTAAAATGTACTTCCCTTTTGTCCACTTTAACTTTTGTGTTCATTTGTATCTGTGCCTGTTGAGAGGCAGAGTCAAAGTTAGCCTTTATTTGTCAAGATGTCTCTGACGTTGAGACGTTTTCAGTCTTTACTGCCATTTTCAAACTTTGGGAAGTGATGCATTTATCCCTCGTGTGTTGAGTTTCTATGTAGATGACATCATGTTTACGTCCGGAATCTTGATAGTTGTCGTTGCATCTTTAAAATCACTTTAGAAACTGCTCTTTATGAGCTGGTGCTCCTGCTGCTGCTGCTGCTGCTAACGCTGCTAACGCTGCTGCTGCTGCTGCTTCTGCTGCTGCTGCTAACGCTGCTGCTGCTGTTTATAACAGGCAGACTGCAGGCACTGATGTAAATTGCTCTGAGTGCTCGCCTTTCCTTCTGCCTGGAAAATTGCCTAATGGAGGCGTTGGTGCCCATCAGGGACAGTGGAGCTGGTTCCATCAGCCAATCAATCAGTTCCTGAACGGTTGTTAGGCCTTCATTGTGTTTAGCATCAAATGACGATTATGTGTGTGTTTGTGGGCTGATAGTGTAGAGGAAAAACTTCGCCGGGGACTGGAGGGAGAGTGTGTGTAGGTGTAGAAGCAAAAAGTGCATGAGCTGCATATCTAACTGCAGATGATGGTGTGGGCGGAGGCAGGAGGAAGAGGCGGGCAGAGCGGGGACACACACAGAGAGATGTAGGAATGAGCAGTGAAACAAGGTTTGTGCTCAGCAGGTGAGAGCATTAATTTTACATTACAGCAGCAGCGCATCCAACGCTGTGGAAAATGTTTTGATCATGAACTGTGTGCGTGGGTGTGTGTCACTGTGAGCGTTAGTGTCTGATGGTGAGCGTGGCTGCAGATGTCAACACAAAATATATAGAAAAGAAAACTGTTACGCTGGCAGGAACATTAAAAAAAGGAGAAAAAGATAAGAAAAAAATGGCAGTAATTTATGCTGTTTTTCCTGTGGAGAAAATTAACAAGAGACCAAACTGATAAAAAGTAAAGAATTGAGAAGGCCTGAAGGAAACATATTCTTCATTCAGTCCTTTGTTCCCCCATGAAGATGTGACCTTGAGCGTTATTTCAGCAAGAACTTTTCCTTCATGTTCACAGATAATAACATTTGCTAATTAACGACGTAACGGTCTACAGATCAGGGGACATTTTCTAACGGAATCAATAAAAATAATGTGGGTTGAGTTTCAGAGATGTTTTTTTTTTTGTTATTTGGGGAATTAGAGTCTATTGAACCCCCTGTTGTCATTTCATGTGGGCTGTTTAAGGCATCGTAAAATGGTAGACGGTGATTAATCTGTAACAGGATTCTTGGCTTGTTTTATCAAAGGCAGTTGCAGAGTAGACAGTAAGTATGTCTTATTGGTGTACTGTTACTGTAAGACAATCATTTTCACTCATTTCATGCGGAGCAGGGGTCCAAAGTCCTGACCTCTCCAGCACATCTGGTCCATAACTAGATGAAGTAAAAATATAACCTTGTCCTAGAGCTAATATTTATTTTTTATTTAGTTGGTTGTTATTATCATTTGTAGAAATGCTTTAGTTGGTAACTTGAAACAGATTAGTAGTACATGTGCACTGTGGTATCATACAGTAAACTACTACTGTTTTATAGGAAATTGTGTGTGGGGTAGCAACTAGATGTTAGCCACCTAGCTTGAGTGAGCTAAGTGGCTAACTAACTGGATTTTGGGTCACGTACACACTGAAAAGGTCCAAGTCTGTAGGGCCAGACTGTTATTGACAGAACAAAGAGCAGCTGGTCGTGGTCAGGTACTCTGAGTTCGAGGCCACTGACTCAAAGGATCCAAGTGTTGTAGGTCATGTGACTTATATTCAGTTGGTATTCCTTTTAAATTGATATCCTTCAAATCTGTAAGGCCAAAGGAAGAGCTTCGTAGATAGAGACGGAAAGTGGGACAG